GAGTGCGTGGAGTGCATGCTGTGGCTGTGGCTCTGTCTCATACATACATCAACCTCGAACTTCCTTTGTAGCTTCCCCTGTCTCTCTCTCTCATTCCCTTGCTATCAGCCAACCAAGTCGAACTTTGTCTGTCGAGCCTGTTTTGATCTGTCACCCAACCAGCTGGATCCCCCCGAACTGATAAAGAAGAAGAGGCTTAGCGTGCCCCAACCACCCAAACCCCAAGCAAAGTGCGTACATACATCAAAGTCGTACCCCATACATATATCCCTCCCTGTCCCTCACGATCTTGCAGTTGGTTGCGCTCGACTTGCTCTGTGGGCTGCACTGCATTGTGGGGGCTGCATGCAACGCGTGGTTGGATCTGTGGAGCTGCAACCAAGTGCAGCTTAGTCGCGTCTGCACTGAAGTTCAGTCAACTAGTTTGAGTTTGGCTGCGAACACGTTCGGTTGTGTGTTTTGTACTTTAGTACTTGGGGCAGTACTACTTGATCCCACTGGCTGGACACTCTGCCTTTGCTTATCGTAAATCAGTTAAAAAAAACACCGTTTTTGGCTGGCCTCAAGTTGAAAGTAATTTGTGCACATTACGCACTGCAATTCAATTAGCCCGAAACGCAGGCCTGGGCCAGGCACATGCACTTTTCTTTGGCTGTGGAGCAACAGCTGTTCTTTGTTTGATCTGCGCCAATCGAAGCTTAATTCCACAAGAGTCATCTGTCCCTGTCTCTGTCGCTCGCATAACGGGTGAGTGAGTGTTGTTGTTGTTGTTGCTGCTGTTCTGAGCGTTCGATGTCAAACTTGTCGGTTGGTCTGATTGCATTTAGATCAAACCAGTCCGCCCTATGTTCTGATCACATACAAAACCAACGCAACCCACGATCCACAAATTGTTCTGATCAAAGCGGAAAAGGTGGCCTGGACAGAGGGGGAAGGGGTAAACCATTCAACCAAAACTTTTGCAATTTGCTAAAATGGTTTCCAATAAGACACAAATTATTTCAACCGCAAAAGCAATTGAAAACTGTTTTTCCTGCTGCAAATAAAGAGTTTTCACTTTTCTGCAGCAATTTTCCATTTTCAAGCTTTTAAGTGGAAGGGGGGGGGGGAGTGGTTGAGTAGGGGGAAAAGCGAAAGGTATTCATTACAAAGGGCCACAAATGGAAAACTTAAATGGAAATGAGATTGGAGACCAATTAGAAGGCCTTTCTCTCTGTCTCTCCTTTCGGGTGCACTCTCTTAACCGTTAACTCTCTCTCGATGCCACCCCTAACCCACCACCACCACCACCAACCTCATCCTCAACCCCCGTCTTCTCTTGCAGATCTGCTGTCCGCCTGGGAGGATCTACTGTCGTGGAGCGAGAATGCCTCTGCCGCGCGTCGCCTCCAACAGGAGATGAGCGCCTTGAAGCAAACGCTCCAGCGATTGGGGGATAAGCCCACACCGGAGTTGCTGGACACGGAGCCCGCTATTCAGATAGCAGTGGAGGCCTTGAAGGTACCTCAACCCACACATTCAAATCTCTATGTGAGCTCTCATTTAATCCGTCTCCGTCTTTCCCTCTCTATCCCGCAGTCCGAACAGAGTCAGCTTTCCAGCTACCGCACACACATGCTACGCCTGAACGCCTCCGTCCACAGCTGGCTGACACGCCAGGAGAGGCGACTCCAAAGCGCCCTGGAGGAGCAGCACGAACAGAATCCAGCACAGGAGTCCGAACAATCAGTGAAGGAAGAGCCATCTGGCATGAAGGAGGAGCTCCCAATCGAGCCATCCACCAAGAAGGAGGAGCAGTCCGCCAAGAAAGAGCTCAATGGATCGGTGGCCATCACCGTCACCGACAGCAATGGCAACCAGGTGGAATCACTGGCCACTGGCGAGGCCTCCACGTCCACTGGCGCCTGGGATGTCCACTCGCTGATGTCCGCCGAACAGGAGTTCCACAAGCACCTCAAGAACGAGGTCAGCGACATGTACAGCGCTTGGGATGAAGCGGATGCCAGGTACGTCCTATCCACATTATATCTCCCCACAAAAATCTCTAATTATGGAATCCTTTATAGAATCAACACTCAACTGGAGATGCTTACCGCCTCATTGATTGCCTGGCGGCAGCTGGAGTCGGGCTTGAGTGAGTTCCACTTGGCTTTGGGACAGGATAGAGGCACCCTCGCGGGCCTGGAGGGAGCCCTGGACAAGGGACAGACCACGCCCGTAGAGCTCGCTCAGAACGTGAAGCTGGTGGCCAAGCTGCTCTCCGAGAAGGTGCACGTCAGCCAGGAGCAGATGATAGCTGTGCAGCAGCATCTGGACCCCAATCAGCTCTACCACATCGCAAAGTTCACGGCGTCGAATGGTTCCCTATCCGATTCGGGCATCTCTGATGGTGGCGCCACCTCCGATGGCGGTCTCTCTGAGCGGGAACGGCGTCTGGGCGTGCTGCGGCGTCTGGCCAAGCAGCTCGAACTGGCTCTTGCCCCCGGAAGCGAGGCCATGCGCTCGATTGCCGCTCGAATGGAGAGCGCCGAGGCGGAGCTGAAGCACCTACAAAACACCTGTCGGGATCTGATTGTGCGCACCGCTGCCTCCCACCAGCAAAAGCACCACCAGCAGCAGCACCAGCAGCAGCAGGTGGCCCCCAAGGCCAATGGACATGTGAAGAAGGCGAGTCCCGGCAAGGGGCAGGGGCAGGCGCAAGAGAAGCCGCAATCCCCGGGAAAACGCAGAAATGCGCGCAAAGCTCGTCAGGCACAGAAAGTAGGAGAAGATCAGACGGCAGACCATTCAGAGGAAAGCCAGAAGAAAATCCTGATCCTGACAAGTGGTGATGGCGGCGGTGACCCCTCCGACGATCCCTCGCTGCTCCTCAGCCTCGAAAGCGGGGATGAGAATGGCGCCACCGATGTGGACGAAGGAAAGGTGCCACCGCGCGGCTGGGCGTGGCGCATCGCCCGTGCGGCAGTGCCCATGCAGCTTGCGCTCATCACGTTCTTCTGCGCTGCTTGCCTCATGCAGCCCAATTGCTGCGACAACCTCAACAACCTGTCGATGAGCTTCACCCCGCAGCTGCGGTACATCCGCGGCCCGCCTCCAATTTGAGCGCCAGAAAGTCGCGTGCATCTCGTTGTAGATTATGTTACGTTATGTTAAGGCACTTAACAGTAGTAACAACTAGGAGTGGACACTGGACGGTCGCCCGCCCGCCCGTCCATCCATCCATGCATGCAACAACCGCCGCATTCGACGCGCAGCTCCAAAGATGAGCTCGCTAGCGTTTTTAAACGCCCGCCCAGCGGCAGTTGACGCGTTTTTAAACGTACTGTGGAAAACGCAGCGCTTCTCCGGAGAGGGGACAATTTTTATATGTCTAATTATAGATAGTGGTCGCGTATTGGAACTTTAGTTAACACTAAGAAAATATTGTTTGTAATTTCGGTTAATTTCGTACGCGTTTAGGTTGCGATTTTTGATGAATGATGAACGATGAACGATCTACGATCGAAATGAACGAGTGATGATGAGTGATGGAAAAGCTCAAGCAAAGCAGCAAAACAGTACTTATGAAAAACTATACTGGAGAGCCGCCACATATCGACTGCCGCATGAAAGGGAAACCCGAGAGGAATCCCAACAACCCAAGGAACCCTTAAGAATAGGTGTATCTGCCAGGAGCCAGTGGAATCGTCAAAACCACGGAGCCAACAGGAAACCCATATACACCATATATGGCGATAGATCCCCCAGTTAATATTTATATGAACAAATTTAGAGCAGTTTTTGTAGACCCTTTTTTGTTTGAAAAACACTAAAGTGCCTAAGAAATGCGAACTGTGAAAAGGAAAGCCCCCCCAATGGGGAGAGAGAGAATATCCCTAGGGAGAACAATGAAAAAGCGATGATCAAAAGAGAGCAATTATCCCAGGCAACAAAGCAAAACGGAAGCTAAATGCCACAACACTAAAAGCGAAACCGGAACCAGAAGTAGCGCTGCAACTAAAGTGGGAAACATAACTGGAAGAAAAAGTATCTCTAAAACTGGAACTGGAACCAGGAAGTATCCCCCAAACTGTTTGAAAATCGATAGTTTCTATTTTTATATGCAATGCAACCTTATACACACACACCATCCCCCACCCCCAATCGATCCCCCTAACTTTTATGTCTATTATATTAATAGGATATAGATAAACCTTATAAGATTTTGCAAAACAAAACAGAAAAAACGTTTAAAAAAAGTATAATTTCTTAAGATCGTCTTAAATTATGATTTAGTCGAGTTCTGGCAGTTAAATTGTAATCTATCTGTAAGGTTTTCTATACTCTGTGCGTTTTCAAAACTTTAATGGCAGTAAAACAAGAACAGAATAAGCAAAAGTTGATGAAAGTTCAAGAATAAAAAGTATTTAAATGAAAGAGAATTATGGATGCCTTTTGAATACCGCTATGAAATGGTCCTGGAACCTGGAATAGCAGGTCATGCGCCGATCTGAGTTCATTTGGCCGAGATATAGCTTCCCAAACTTTTGACTGCTAAATATTGCCCAAATTCTGGTTGTGTCTTTTGTCTCCCCGATCGTTTTTAATCAGTTTCGCATTAAGGATAAGTCGGCCTTTTCTCATCCGATCCGATTGATATCCTCGTGTCCCCCCTATCCGATTGAAGCCCTTAGAACCTATCCAAGGTAGTATTCAAGATAGACAGATAGGCCTAAATATACCAGCCTGAAAGTATGCTAAGCTCTTTTAATAAAGCCAACACCAAAATTATGCCATACTTGAAATAAGAAGAGATTTATGGATTTCTATTTATATTATATCATTACTTTGTTTTAAGTGCACTAGATAGGAAAGATTTGCAGCATATGAACACGTTTACCACATTTTGGATGATACAGCGACTGCAGGTTCCCCGGGACCTCCATCAGTCGGCAGGGCCGTTAAAGAAAGTGAATAAAAATTAATCAAATGAAAAACGAACCTGTACTTATGTCACGGGCTTTAACTTCAGTTTTTTTGGAGAAAATGTTTAATAAACATCCCAAATTGTATTTTTTTTCCTAGCCATTTGTGGTTTCACACAATGGTCTAAAAATTTCGGCAACTACCTTTCAAAATTCTTTGTTTTTGTGACGCTTGGTGCATCCATCTTTTCTCCCATAAAAAAATGGTCTAGGATTTGGAAATTTCGATACTCAAGTTTGCAAAGCTCAAAACATGTCGCTGAGAAACCAGAAATCCCAGACATCCATCAGCGTCGTTCAGGTGGGCCGTCAAGCAGGTCGGCGTGCCTCTGCCGGTCCGGATGAGATCCACAATGTCTACATTAAGAGGATCGTGAGCGACTGGCGGGATTCCGTGCGGGAGCGACGCTACACAACGGATTCGAGATCTTCGAGATCTTCCCGGCTGGATGTAGACAAGGGCATCGGCTTGAGAAAAAACCTGACGACTCCCAGCTTCATCCGACCGAGCATCCAGAGACCGACTCTGTCACCACCCAAAGGCAAACCTCTGGAGATCGAGTACGGACGGGGTTCCGGGGAGGCAGATCGCATAACCGTCACAGAGGGCGTCGAACTGTACATCCACCAACCCATCAAGGGATCGTTGTCCAAGCCAGCACAAACACCAACACCACCCGACGAGATTATTGTACCAGACTAATCAATCCCAAGACAGCAGGAGATACTCCAAATAAATAAAGATCTCACAAGGGAGCCACCCGAGCAGAGGCCACTTGTTTGCTTCATGGAAGGAGTCTAGGAGTCAGTCTAGTATGTTGGGAGTTTGTAGATGCGTTGAGTGGTTTACTCTACGATTGTTGGGTATTGGGTATTGTTGTGAATCGACACGGAAACGGACACAAAACACTGGCAGACAGTTCTTCAAGAGACCTTCACCTCCTCCATTATGCGCAGGTTTCTCCCGCTTTCGTAGCCACAAAACACTAGAGCTGCTGGTGTCCGTCGGAGTATGGCGATTCTTTCAAGTATGGAATCGTTAAGCCTCTGCTTAAAAATTCAATTATTTGCTGGAAACTTTAAAACTCTTAAAATTCCATCTGTGGAAACTTCAAACTTCTTACAAAATTCCTCTATCAATAATCCTTTGATTAGTTTCTGTTCATTTCGTTCCTTTAATATCCTGTTACGTACACCTATTCGTATTCTGTCACACACATCCTCCAACTGCGGACAGACGGAACAACGTCTGCTGACGATGATGGATCTGCGCAAAATGAATCGTACCTTGAAGCGCCCAAACACACCCAACAACACACACACAATAAGCAGGCAGAAGGCTTTCTTTTACATAAGAGAAACCCCAGCCAATGGGAACACCATTCAAGTATATACGATTTCCCCTTCATTTGCTAGATATAGTGCACATCTTCTAGCGCATTAAGTACTTCATATGTTCATCCCTCTCTGGCCTGGCATTGCCCTCATAGTCAGCTCTATGGTTGTCTCTGTCTATGGTTCGTCATAGCCGAGACACGAACCACTGTTAAGCGACTGTTGCCATGAAAAAAGGCAGAACAAATAATAAATTGGAGTTAGTTTCGAGTGCTGCAAGGTAGTAAATGAAGTCTAGACAGGGTTTTGATGGTAAAACATTTCTTCAATTGTAGTTACTGCTTTAGCTGTAAAGTCAATCAATTAGAGGTTCATTGTAGCTCCCCAATGAGAAATGCAATCATGAAGGTACTGCTTCAATCCTAACGTAAAGAAAGAGTTAGAAACAAAGTTAAGATAATAAATTTACATTGGAATAAGTAGATGTTGCAGATGGTAGTTACTGGTGTTTCAAGATATTTAATGTTAAATAATATATTATATATGTATAGTTAAATATATACCAAGAAAAGGCAGCTATCAAATATTTCGAAAGACTAAAAATAATTTTCCATAGATACTGGTAAAGTATAAACAAAGGCAGGCTCAGGCTCTGAACAGCTGATCCTCAACCAGCGCAAAATGAACCTGAAACTAAAGCGTGTGTCAAGTGCGCGAACAATGAAAACATAATTTTGTTTACGCCTCGAGGGTTAACACTGCCCGGGTGAAAACCAGATTCCAGAGAAGTCACCACCACCATCCGGGCACAACCCGAGAAGAGGTCTCAACAATTATAATAATATGCTTACTTACCAGCTGAAATGGGCGTGGCAAGGTGGGGGGGAGCAGAGCTCGATTCGCGTGGCCAGACGGAAGCAGTCCTGAAAATTGAATTTGCATAATTTTCGATGAGAAATTAGTTATAAAAGCAAGAAGGTTGCTTCGAAGAAGGTTAAGTGAGGCTTTAAAGGAGGGAAGAAAACTCCCTGAGAACTAGTAAGAATATCTTGAGCCCTTGAAAGAAGAAATAGTGAGTGAAATCTGCCCCACCAAACTGCCAGAATAGAAATAGAAACAATAGAAATAATATTTTTGATTTGGATTATGGAAATTTTTGGGTCCATCTCCGGTTGATTGGAGATTGTCAATAAGCTGCCGGAACAGGGGGAGAATAGTGTTTCGCCCTCAACCCTTAAGCCATTCATTAAACTTTGTGATTAAACTGACCACAGCATGAGGGGTTGAGCAGCCACACACGCGGACATCCCTGCCAGCAGCCAGGACACAGAACCCGCACCAACACCCGTTTAGTGAAGTGAATTGAGTCAAGGAAAAGCGACAAGCGACCAGCGTCGACTGCTGACAGGCTCATTAAATGGCGCATTCAGTGGTGTCCTCTGCTGGACCTTGTGCCTTCCCCCAGACTGTGTGTGCTGCGACCTGCTGGACCTTCAACCTCCCCAAAGCTGGCCACAGGCCAAAGTCAACACGTCAAATTGAATGCCCCTCACAACCTCCACATTTCCCAAAGCTTCCACATTTCCCTCAGTAGTCCTTGAAGCGGGCTAATTTTCCCCAGCTCAACCTTTAAATTCGCATTTTCCTAGAGCAAAAGAGAGAGAGAAACAGCGTGAAACCCGTCATAAATAATGCCTGGAAAATTGTAGAAAATTGCCGAAACAATTTATGTTGACATTATCTCGAGAGAGACATTTCTGTATCGCTTTCTCTGTCTCTTTCTATCTGTCTGTTCGTCTGGTGGTTTTTCCGCTTTTTCTGGATGATTAATTACCACGAAAAGAAAAATATTTGAATATGAAAAACGACGCTTGATAAGTGGTAGGCGGCGGGCGGGAATGCAGACAGTTGAGCAGGAAAAACTTTAGCTTATTGCTCCCCAGTTGGCGATAAACTTGGATGACTTTTAATGAACTGAGCATTTCATCATCTTGCTTTGAGAGCAAAGATTTCGGGAGAAGTCGGTATCTGTTACAGAATCTGGAATTACGAGGTGTTTTTTATTTGCATGTTGTCATCGAAAGGAAACAAATAAGCAAATATGATATATAGTAGACTCCTGCTTGGAGAAATGGAATTAATAGCAGTAAAATATATTTATTCATACTTCTTAAGAATCTCGATATATTTTTTTTGTTACTAAAGTATATCTTTTGTAGTTCTGTTCAATCCTTAAAGACACCTTTCCATCATTTCAAGGACTCTTTAAGGTTGTTTCCACCACAAAACGGCCTTCAAACGACGCTTTCGTCTTGCGTTCTGGTACTCCCAATGACATTAGCCATTACTTTTGGGGCTCTTGCCCTTTCCTCTACCTCGTTACGCCTCTATCCTTGGAAAACTCATTGCTGCTGCTGGAAAATTCACCTTCTTATGGCCTGTCAATAAAATTCGATTTCTCTTTGGGGGTCAGGTTCGGTGCGAGAGGCCCAAAGGCAGACCCAGAGCCAGTGTCAGTGCCAGAGGCTGCGGCAGAGTGGGAGGCGGAAAAGGTCGTGCCATTAAATGTAACAGCGCTGTAATTTGCATAATTTTCTATTCATTACATAATTCTGTCAATTTCCAATACATTATAATTTGTTAGAGCCCCGAAAAACACACACACACACACACACACACACACACAAGGGGGAGAAGAACACACGGACCAGGCGGACCACAAAGCAGCAGCAGGAAAAATATGCAAAGCAGCGGGGAAAAAATGGAACAAATTATATATAGAGGGTATTCCACTCGTCGCGTCGCCCTCTCTCCGACCAGCCTTTGTTCTGCCATCGTATTCTCGTATTTGTAATTTGTTTTCGGCTTAAAAAGATTATTTTATGGTGAAAACAACCCGAGGGTCAGAGCCGAGAGGTTGTTCAATTTTTTATGCGCAATATGCTTGAATCGAGACCGAAGAAGGTCCTGAATTAGAGCAAGGGGGAAGGACCTTCTGCTCTGCACCAGGGTAGAGAAATTAACACATTTTTCCCAAAGATGCAATCCCTGAGATAGGACAAAAGTGGCACGGAAAACAGGAGCAAGCAGCCACCGTAACCTCAGTCCTCCGTCCTCTGCGATAGCAAAAGAAACAAAAAAGAAAACCACAAAAAGGAGAAAACATTCTAATCCTCAAACAGAATCGAATCGAGAACCGAAAATCACGTAGCCATTATAAATGCAAATCAAGTGTCAATATTGCACATTTGAATATTTTCGCCTTTGCCATTTTGGGCACAAGGATTTTCGTTTGCATTTTCATTTTCATTTGCAAAATGAATGCGAATTTTCCGTGTGTTTTCGTCTTTTGCAAATCAGCAGAGCAAACATCGGAGCAGTGCGACAGGCGAAATCAATTGGAATCCCAAATGTCAACTGAGTGAATAACCCAGAAAGTTTCCAGGACATTTGCCGCCCACATCCTGACATCTGGCCAGGCATACTGATGAGTCCACGCCTGCCGTCCACTTAGTCTGTCTTCCCTTTGCTCTACTGTCGAGGGATCCGATTAGGGACAATCTTTGAAGAGGCTCCAGTTGAACAGTTTTTTGGATTATGATTTCCGCTGCTTCAGGAAGAAGGAGAATCCACGATGAAGCTGTCCAAACGAAGAGTTAACTTTCGGAGGGCTGTCCAGAAACTCTCCTTTTTGATTTTAGATTATATATAGAGCCTCGGTCTTAGAGATCTGGCACTCACTTTCCATCTATAGCTCTTGGGAATGGATAATTTTTCATGTCAGAAAGTAGTTCTTACATAACTTTCTCATGTAACTGTTCCCTACGAACCTTAACAGATAAGTCCTACGTTAAAGTGACTCTTCTCACAGCCATTTCCTGGTTCCCACTACCCATTCCAAAGTCTTTCGCTTGGATCCAAGACTCCCCTGGGCTCCCCTGAAAGTGTGAGCCTGCCAACGTTACGTGCCAAGTGGCTGTCAACTTTAGTAGCCATGATCTCTCAGCCGGCCCCACTCCCTACTCGACCGTCTCTTCTCCTCCTTTTCTACTAGCTGATTTTCCCCGCTTTTTCTACATCCCTTATCCTTCCCCTATTTTCCTTACTAATTAGCATTTGAGCTGCGGGCAAACTTTCAACTTTAGTCAACTCGGTGAAGTTTCCACCGCAGCGTACCGCAGAGCAGCGGCAGGTCGAAAGCCCAGAGGCCAAGTCATGGATACAGCCTTCGGGCTTCCCCATCCTCTCTGTCTTCTCTTACAGCCACCACACTCCCCGCCCACTGCTGCCCCTACTCTTTTAGCCAAGTTAAATAAGTTGTCATGATAATTTGGCACGAGGCCAGTGGCAGGGACAGAGACAGAGGTGGAAGCAGGCGGGAGAAATTATAAATATTTGATGCCCGTAACATGAGATTCAATATTTCCCAAGTCTTGGATCGCGGATCGGGATCCCCTATTCC